TTGCATGAAATGTTCTAGTAAGTGACAATTCGCAAAATGAAAAACAAAAGGTTAACAAAAGATAGCTCAGTTTCACAAAACATACTGACACATGTATAAAATCTTAAAGACGTTTGTTATCTGAACATTCTGAAATGTGTCTTGAGGACTATCGCTCGTTTTCGTTTTAAAGCCGAAATTTTCATTTCCAGAATACGCGCTTCTTGTCACAGGCCTTAAGGTTTGTTTTTTGATAATGAAGGCGCTATCAGCAGAACTACACCAGTCGGATTGTCTCCGACTAATTAACAAATTACTGAGCCATGCTGTGCCCCACTTCATGTCTGAATGCAAAATTTGTTTTGGTTTGTCAAAACTACCATTATTGACAAAGACAAGTTCCGTTTGTGTTTTATAATATTAGGTTTTTTTGCCGAGCATGCATTAGCAAAAGCTATACAATAGAGTGTTTATTTGGTTTTACATAAAGGTTTATTTCACCGTTTAGTAAAGGTCTGACACATATGTTATACTGCAAACTACAATAAACAGTGGATAAAGGAAAATGAGAATTGAACGAACAATGTTAAGGCGCAGCACGATTTTTGCTCGTCATTTCACCTGTTCTTATGATAAAATCTTCTATGCTAAATCTTCCATTTTCATCTTTTAATATTATTTCAATATCTATCCGCATGGCTGGAAAACGTACCTTATAACTGGCGAAATGGCGATGTGTTTGAGACTCTTATCTTCCAAAAAAAGGAAAATATAGCTTTACAAAGTCAGGGAATTTTACAGACTTGTGTATACTATGAGGTACAAAGTTGCCCCGAGCATACATGCATCTGTAAAGTTTCCCGACAGGAACGTTTTTGTCACGTAATTCATGCATAGTGTACGAAAGAAAAACAAGATTGTGCACGGTCTTGGACCTCCCAACATTAATCTTGGCATCTTTGGTTGCTCCCGACTTTGATGTTTGCCGGGCTTCATAACCATTTCCCTCTTAAAACTTTGAGCAAACGAAGACCGAAGACTTTTGTTTCTTTGGTGGCTCTGAAAAGACCCATTTTGAATGGCTCCACAAAGAGCCGTTTTAAAATTTTCTTGAACCTTTCGCACGAGGAAGAATTGACAACCAATTCGGTGTCCGGTCGTTTCGATACAAAACTTTAAGATACCCGGCAACCTGAAATTATTATAGAATTTCCACTGACGTTTAGAATTGCCAAACGATACTAAATGCTTTCGTTTTGTAGTGAACGAAGGCTCGTCTGACTTCCCTTCAAATCGGGCTTGTTTCAGAAAAGAAGTTCAGCGTATTCAGCCAGCGGAAAAAGTTCCGAGACCTCCAGACAAACATGATTTATCCTTCTGGGATTACATTCTTTCGATCGATCGCTGTCGTATGCGATGCGACGATAAAAAAAAAACTTTAATTGGGATATTCCTCTAGTTAACTTTTGCTACGAAACGTCTTCAGTCTGTATCGAAACGACTTCAGTTTGTATCGAATCGACTTCCCTTTGTATCGAATCACGACTTGAATCGAAACGACTTTGTATCGAAACGACAGCAAACCATTAACTGTTTCCTTTGTAAGTTTCTGATTTTGCTAGGCTGTCTATCGAGGTCATAGACTGATGCAAGGTTTCAAACTTTCATTAGACGTGAGAAGTGTGAACCGTTTTGTTTTTACTGCGATTTGAGTGCGTTTGAACAACACTCGCGCTTTCGGGCATTGTGTAATTTTTCTTCGGACAATAAGGTCACCGCCCCCCCCTCCCCAAGTACGAAGGTGCTCGTACGCCTATGTACACGACTAAAATGTTGTTGCCGTTTTAGAACACGACATCATTATTCTCGCGAGCTCATTGGTCGAGAGCTAGGTTGAAAAGACTATAAACCATAAAAATGGCGTAACCGAAAGCGCCGGTACGTAATTCAAGACAACGTTTGGATAACTTAAAAAAGAAAATTGACGTTGTTGTTGTATTGAAACATCCAGAAATTGAAAGACAAGTAAAATTAAAATACCAGCGAAACACACAGAGTAAAATCAGTAAAAAGCTATTACTTTTCTCCTCGCTTACGTACATACTGCTGATCAGTTTGAACCGCACAGCAAATTATCTAGCGTAGACTGCATGGGTGGCGGTGCTGTAGGGCAGCGTCAAATTAGTTCGGGATAATTCTGAGCGCGGAAGTATATACGATCAGAGAGAGAGAGAGAGAGAGAGAGAGAGAGAGAGAGAGAGAGAGAGCCCATTGCCATTGTTCTTTCTTACTAAAAACATTCGAGTGATTAGAGGCAAATAGAGCTGGAGGACACCAAGTTCTCCTACCAATTAATCATAACTAACGCAATTTTATGAAGACATAAGTATTGGTAAATCGTTTTGGCATATAACAACCTAGTCTCTTTGAATTAGTNCCCTGTATTTGCGCCCTGAATGCTTCTTTAAGTTGGCCTTAGCCTATTGCCCCATGCCTCCTCCCCATGATTCCCAGCGCCCCTCCTCATTAGTTAATTATTATATTTTTAACTATCGCGCAGGCGACTGGGGACGATGCAGGTACCATATAAACCTATATAGCGAAATGCAAAGTTCGAATTCTCTTGTCCGTTTCTCGTCTGAAAATTACAATCGTACTAGTACTTTTAATCATTTGAACTTCATACGTGTAACTCATCTATTATAACAGGAACCATAAATTATGGCTCCTGGTTATCATTAGCTTCTATATATAGAGACATTATTTCTGCTATAAAATATTGGCTTACATCAGAAAAAAACAAATGAAAAACATTGCCAACAAAAAGTAAAATTTATCACTAGGCTAGACCTCCACGTCGAATAGCTTGAAGTTCGCTACGACTGCGAAAGCCTTATACACTGGGCAGCGTATTCGCAAAACGTCTAGCAGAAAGAGAAGGAGCGAAGGAGCGAGTGAATGTCCCATCCATACCTACACTTGGAAAATACTATTTTTTAAATTAAAAATGAAACATACAGGACCAGGAAGACCAGGAAGCGGGAGATGGAATGCAGAAGACCTTCTCGAACCTTTGGACCATTTGATCATTACCAGTTACATTCTTAACTCTTAGCTTTGACGTCACATTAGTTAACTCGTTATATATTTTTTCTCCGTTTAGTATAGCTCCTTACCCAGACCCTGGCCGTCCAAATGAAGAAAACAGGGATTGGTGATGACTTTCGTCATGACAAAACGGTTGTATTCACATGTCTTAGAGATAACACTGTGAAGGGTGCGCGAACGACAAAGTGCTCAGACGGTGAGTAGAGCAATGGAAAGTCACGTTGTAAAGCTAAGTTTTATATGCCTGAGCGCTTTTCATTTGACTGTCGTAAAACCAAAAGCAAAGTAATCACTCGGGCCAATCATACAGGACAGAGACAATCCAATGAACCAATCAAAACTCATGGTAAATACACATGTAGCTAACGCAAAGCGCGGGAAAACGTGTGCGAACGAGTCACGATTGGTTTTAATTTTACCTCTGATTGGATGAAAAAGTGGAACGAGTATTTTTTAAGCCAGTCGCCTATCTGAGCGTGTTAAACGTAGCTTTTCTGTAATTTCATCTGACCGATCATAATATACACTTTAAAAAAGTAAACCTTTCTGAGCTCGAAATATAAGCAAAAGCAAAAGTGCAAAGCTTCAGGTGTGAAACAGAAAATTATTGGTGCTGGTTTTGCTCAGCGTAAAATGAAAACAACTTCCTCTGTAACATAACAGAAGCTTAGAACGCACCAAAATCTATGTTTGGAGGAGAAAATATTTGCCTTTAGGAATATTTCGTTCTCGTTCTCTAGACTTTAATAAACATGACACAACAATTGAAAATATTACTTAATTGGTCGGATATAGGTACTGCTAGGAAATCTGACTTATCGGGCAGCTTACCAAAGTATTGGAATCACATTATAATCGCGTGCTCTGAATACTGTGATCATTTCAACACGAGATCAAGGTTTTGCAATGTCACTTCAAGCTCTAGATCCCAGACGCCTCTATCTAGAGTCTCTGCGTGCTGTATGTACAGGTAATCAAATGATTTCGAGTGCAATAGACGGACTCGGCTAACGTGTTTACATTCTTGTTGCCACCCTATAGACCACTTTCGATATATCAGCTTGGCAGCGAGGCTTAGAGGACAAAACAAAGGAAACTGAATGACGTGTTTATTCATTTCTTTTGTTTGTGTCCTCTAGGCCTCACTATCAAGCTGAATTTTGATATATCGAAAGTGGCCTATTCAGGTCATGTCATGATTCATTTAGGAGGTTACAATTGTTTTGTTTCTACATACTTCCATGCAATCACTTGCATGTTGCAAATTGCACAGTTGAAACCTCCCAAATGAACCATCACATGATCTGAATTGGGTGACAACAAGGATGTAAACATCCGTTTATTTGGAATAAAAAAGCACAATTAAATTTTTCAAAGACTAAAAAATTGTAGTTTTTGAAAAAAAATCTAAATCGCATGAGAAGAATCATTTGATAACTTGATAATATGCATGCAATTTAATTTCGCCTTCTGCATGCAAACTCAGTTTCAACTTTCTGCAATGTATGAGATTAATTGACGTGCTCTCAGCCAATCAGCGTGCTGAAATTTTGGCATACATGTTATTTTGATAATATACACACTTGAGAGATTTACTACCAACGTAGTTGTAAGAGATTGTTTCTTTTAATTTTTTTTCAAGGTAAAGCAGCCATTAAAAACTGACAAGACTTTGTTGTTTTTACGTAAACATTACTGTTCGCATATTACTGCAAAGTAACTCAGGTGTGACAAATTCCAGACGTTGTGATCGCTTTTGTTATCTCCTTTTTGCTCAGTCTATACGCTAGTTCCACACCATTCGTTTGTTATCTTGGGGTTTTATTGCAATGGATTGCAGTCTTGAAATTGATATTTTCTTTGCAAAATTGTCAAAATATAATTGCACTGAACATTTTCCTTTCAATACTCAATGTATTTAATGGGTGGTTACGTATTTTAAAGAAGACGAATGCTAAATATAGCTAGCTAGTAATTGTTTAATAAAGCATGAAATCTCGAATGTTCGTGGAGAATGAGATAATGCCACAAATTAAATAAAATAGCATGCGCCGTTAACTTGTTTGGGCATATCTGGTTTGTATCGCGAGGACTGTAGCTACACTTCTAACGCTGTCACTTATGATTAGCAAAACATTTGAAAGTGTATAGAACACAGAATATTCCCACAGGGTGGTATGTGAAGCTCATGAGTCAAGGCTCAAGTTACACTTCACGCTGATTAGTGCAGCGACCCGCAGGGTTTAACTTGAAAGCGAAAAGGATTACTTAATTAGTTTTGCTCCAGCTTGGTCTGAGTTCGATGATGAAGGAAACGTTGTCTGCAGTGCTTTTCATATTAGCAGTTTCCCAGACGTCTTCACAAAGAGGTAAAAGTTCTTTAAGTAAAGTTAGAAATTATTGGGAGCTTTCTTTAGATTAGTCTGGAAAACGTAATGGCAATCAGGATTGCAGCTGTAATGCAGTTTGTCAACCAAGCGTCGAATATTTATGCTCGATGCAAGTTAGGACATTTGAAGTTTTCCGTAGGGTCGAGGATATACAGTCCACTATTTCAATGTCGAGGTCATCTTCTCACTTTTATTATGAACCTCGTGAAACAAGCGGGAAATCGGTCATTTTGTTAACTTATCAACCGAGTTCTCGGTGTTGGAAACTTTGTCAAAAGTCACTCCATTCAATATTTCTTTTGGAGTCTGTTAACATTAAAGACCGTGGAGTTACGTTTAATTCCAAAGTAGCAGACACGAGAAACTTTTCATTAGCATATTTCGCTGGAAGACAAAAAAGATCGTTCCGGAAATTTACAAACTCTTTTCACACACTGAATCAACAGTTATCAATAATGCATAAAAAAGAATTAAGTGTCAAATATTCCTTAGCTTGCTCAGTTCTACTTAGGCCAGCAATTGAAAGTCTTTTAAGTACTTGCTGCCATAAAGGAGGAAACGATTTGCATGAAATGTTCTAGTAAGTGACAATTCGCAAAATGAAAAACAAAAGGTTAACAAAAGATAGCTCAGTTTCACAAAACATACTGACACATGTATAAAATCTTAAAGACGTTTGTTATCTGAACATTCTGAAATGTGTCTTGAGGACTATCGCTCGTTTTCGTTTTAAAGCCGAAATTTTCATTTCCAGAATACGCGCTTCTTGTCACAGGCCTTAAGGTTTGTTTTTTGATAATGAAGGCGCTATCAGCAGAACTACACCAGTCGGATTGTCTCCGACTAATTAACAAATTACTGAGCCATGCTGTGCCCCACTTCATGTCTGAATGCAAAATTTGTTTTGGTTTGTCAAAACTACCATTATTGACAAAGACAAGTTCCGTTTGTGTTTTATAATATTAGGTTTTTTTGCCGAGCATGCATTAGCAAAAGCTATACAATAGAGTGTTTATTTGGTTTTACATAAAGGTTTATTTCACCGTTTAGTAAAGGTCTGACACATATGTTATACTGCAAACTACAATAAACAGTGGATAAAGGAAAATGAGAATTGAACGAACAATGTTAAGGCGCAGCACGATTTTTGCTCGTCATTTCACCTGTTCTTATGATAAAATCTTCTATGCTAAATCTTCCATTTTCATCTTTTAATATTATTTCAATATCTATCCGCATGGCTGGAAAACGTACCTTATAACTGGCGAAATGGCGATGTGTTTGAGACTCTTATCTTCCAAAAAAAGGAAAATATAGCTTTACAAAGTCAGGGAATTTTACAGACTTGTGTATACTATGAGGTACAAAGTTGCCCCGAGCATACATGCATCTGTAAAGTTTCCCGACAGGAACGTTTTTGTCACGTAATTCATGCATAGTGTACGAAAGAAAAACAAGATTGTGCACGGTCTTGGACCTCCCAACATTAATCTTGGCATCTTTGGTTGCTCCCGACTTTGATGTTTGCCGGGCTTCATAACCATTTCCCTCTTAAAACTTTGAGCAAACGAAGACCGAAGACTTTTGTTTCTTTGGTGGCTCTGAAAAGACCCATTTTGAATGGCTCCACAAAGAGCCGTTTTAAAATTTTCTTGAACCTTTCGCACGAGGAAGAATTGACAACCAATTCGGTGTCCGGTCGTTTCGATACAAAACTTTAAGATACCCGGCAACCTGAAATTATTATAGAATTTCCACTGACGTTTAGAATTGCCAAACGATACTAAATGCTTTCGTTTTGTAGTGAACGAAGGCTCGTCTGACTTCCCTTCAAATCGGGCTTGTTTCAGAAAAGAAGTTCAGCGTATTCAGCCAGCGGAAAAAGTTCCGAGACCTCCAGACAAACATGATTTATCCTTCTGGGATTACATTCTTTCGATCGATCGCTGTCGTATGCGATGCGACGATAAAAAAAAAACTTTAATTGGGATATTCCTCTAGTTAACTTTTGCTACGAAACGTCTTCAGTCTGTATCGAAACGACTTCAGTTTGTATCGAATCGACTTCCCTTTGTATCGAATCACGACTTGAATCGAAACGACTTTGTATCGAAACGACAGCAAACCATTAACTGTTTCCTTTGTAAGTTTCTGATTTTGCTAGGCTGTCTATCGAGGTCATAGACTGATGCAAGGTTTCAAACTTTCATTAGACGTGAGAAGTGTGAACCGTTTTGTTTTTACTGCGATTTGAGTGCGTTTGAACAACACTCGCGCTTTCGGGCATTGTGTAATTTTTCTTCGGACAATAAGGTCACCGCCCCCCCCTCCCCAAGTACGAAGGTGCTCGTACGCCTATGTACACGACTAAAATGTTGTTGCCGTTTTAGAACACGACATCATTATTCTCGCGAGCTCATTGGTCGAGAGCTAGGTTGAAAAGACTATAAACCATAAAAATGGCGTAACCGAAAGCGCCGGTACGTAATTCAAGACAACGTTTGGATAACTTAAAAAAGAAAATTGACGTTGTTGTTGTATTGAAACATCCAGAAATTGAAAGACAAGTAAAATTAAAATACCAGCGAAACACACAGAGTAAAATCAGTAAAAAGCTATTACTTTTCTCCTCGCTTACGTACATACTGCTGATCAGTTTGAACCGCACAGCAAATTATCTAGCGTAGACTGCATGGGTGGCGGTGCTGTAGGGCAGCGTCAAATTAGTTCGGGATAATTCTGAGCGCGGAAGTATATACGATCAGAGAGAGAGAGAGAGAGAGAGAGAGAGAGAGAGAGAGAGAGAGAGCCCATTGCCATTGTTCTTTCTTACTAAAAACATTCGAGTGATTAGAGGCAAATAGAGCTGGAGGACACCAAGTTCTCCTACCAATTAATCATAACTAACGCAATTTTATGAAGACATAAGTATTGGTAAATCGTTTTGGCATATAACAACCTAGTCTCTTTGAATTAGTTTTGAACGCCAAATTGAAATGTTTGGCGTTAGTTTTCATGGGAAATAATCAACTTCGAATGTTTTCGGTTGAATCTGTGTCCTGGATTGCCCCCAAAATACACACCTTAAGAAGTAGAAATTTCATTCAACTGGAACTTTTAAACTACAGATTTCGTCCTTCGCAGTGGGCTATTCCTAACCGTGAAATTTGCGAGTAAACCCTCAGTTAGCTCTTCTTTACCCTAGCAGTAATCACAACCTGTCTTCTTATAAGCAGGGTCTAAGATAGACAGGAGGATAGTGAAACTACTTTAGATCGATCTATATGGGTTTATATAATAACCCAAGTTATTCTCGCATTTTGATTGGTTCTCGCCTATGATCTATTAGATTGACGTCATCGTTTCAAAGTCTTTCCCTCTGTGTTAAAAATGGCGGAAAGTTTTGAGAATTTAAATAACATGTTACGTGACTGGGCCAAAGATAGGGTACAAAGAAGTCTTGTCGAGGCATTGAACAGGTACGAGAAGCAGGAAGAAGGAAGATAAAGCCGTTTCTTTTTAAGAAAATGACAGTCAGAAAAAATACTCGAGCAGTCTCAATCGGCAGTCGAGCGAGACCAAACCAAGCACAAAATTCGTGTTCCGCGGGAGGCGATATGCTGTGAAAATTTCGGAAGATTTCACCGAAGGAAATTCAAGAAAATCGTAAGTAAAGCCAAAAAAAAGTAAAAAAAACATATTTGTTCGGGCATTTCTAATTCAAGACTAAAACCAATAATTTTAACAGAGATGATAGTAAAACACTATTCAATCATTGCTTATTAAATGTAATTAGTTTGAGAGGACTGGGTGCAAATACGAATGCAAAAACGGCAATCAAAACATAACACTTGCGCGCGCAACGCCATAAATGATTACCCTATGCAGTCACCTTAAAATCAGTTAAAATAAACACATAACCATGCTTTCCGATGCGAATGTTCCGATTCCGTTTCAGGACACAGCAGCGAGCAAAGTATAGCTCACTACAGCTCACGGCCAACTGTATCGCAGCTAAAAGGTATCTCTGCCACTATTTCAAACTGATTTGAAAATCACCAACCACAGAGGACACAAATTTCCACCATAACTAACGCTCCTTTCATTCAAAACTCGAATCGAATGGCCTCCAGATTGACCGCAACCGCAAGTTTTCCGGGCAACGTCCAAACTTTTCGGCTCACAGGGCTGCTCTGATGACAAAACTGACTTGACTTTTCCAGCATTTTCTGTAAGATTTGTAGACTTCGCAGCTCAATTCGGCTTTCTCTGTAAGTTTTCAATCCACGAGAAGCGACGCTCGAGTCAAGTTTGACAGTGGCATGATTTTTCTGGACCAATAACAATTCTTTGCTACGCATACCAACCAATGAGATTGCTTCATTTTGTATAGACAATAGATTACGTCAAATGGCGTTTTTCGTGTTCGCCAAAGTGGGCAAAGGCCGGCTTTCGAGTTATGTTGAAAGATTTTGAAATAAAAAATCTTTATCTGTAGTAGTTTGTTACGTTATTATATAAAACAAATAGATTCCTTGTTGCCGTGCGTCTGTTCAGTAACAGATCACAGAAAACGTCAAAATGTGGTAAGTACATCAGTGACACACTCGGCTATCGCCTCGTGTGCCAGTTATTTGTTCTTACCACATTTTGACGTCATCTGCGATCTATTATTGAACAGACGCACGGCAACACGGAATCTATTTGTTAAATTGTTAATAGTAATTCATAATGTTTTTGTTTTTCTGCTGCTAAATGTTTCAGTTACTTGTTCACCTGGATGGGCCCTCAATGGAACTTCATGTTATTATGTGTATACCGATCGCGCCCAGAAACTTAACTTTTGGAAGGCAAACAGATGGTGCAAGCAACGGAATAGCTTCCTAACAAGTGTGCTGAGCCGAAGAGAAAATAATTTTCTGGATCGACTTATCAACAGAACAAATCTTCGACCAAACGAAACGTTTTACGTAGGGCTGAGAACGAATGTTCGCAAGTTATCATGGGTAGATGGAGAGCCTTACAACTATACGAACTGGTACAACAACAGTAACGATCAGGAACTATTGAAGGATAACAAACAAAGATGTGCTTACTACAATTATCTACATCAGTGGCAACTAAATGATAAGTGTGGAACAAACCGACTCTTTATCTGCAAACAAGCAAAATCCTCAGGAGGTACTGTGTATACAGTTGTGCATATTAAGAAAGCAAACCGACTGTGACCGCTAAAACAAGGTGAAAAAAATTCTAAAGTGAACTGGGACTACTATCCTGTTTACACGAATTATCTTGCCATCAATTGCGGCCTGTTGCATCCCTGTTATTGACGGACAGTTCCCACACAAAATCACAAGTAGATGCGGTCTACTTTAATCTGTAGTAAGATATCAGATTTTACAAGCTTTGGGAACATTTTCATTCACGTGGCCTGCTGCCATGCAAATTTATTAGAGCAAAAAAAGTTTGCATAAGAGAGGAGTTCAACTCCGACAGGATTGTTTTGGACTCCAACGTGGCTGCAGTGGCGTCATGTAAGAACACTCTATAGGGTTTGTTCTCCGAGTGACATTAAATTCCTATCAAACCAAAAGCATGCTCCAAAAATGGATTTTATTGCAACTCATAAACTATGAAGTCTTTCCTTGGCAGTAGATTGGCAATATTTCCGAAATTTGGCTGTAAACCATGTATTAGCTGTCCTTGAACCAAGAGCTGAGGTAATCCTGGTCCGATAAGTTTTTCTTTTTTCCTTGTAAATAGGGCCTAAGATGAACAAACAAAAGTAAAACTACTTACGTGATTCCAGCTATTACTAGTATTAACCGGTAATTTTCTTTCTTTTTGTGTTGAACGTTTTAGCTGCTTGTTCACCTGGGTGGGTCGTCTATGGAACTTCATGTTATTACGCGTATACAAATCATACCCAGAAACTTAACTTTTGGAAAGCAAAGGGATGGTGCAAGAAACGAAATGGTTCTCTGACAAGTGTGCTGAGCCAAAGAGAAAATGATTTCCTGGATCAACTTATTAACAGAACAAATCTTCGACCGAACGAAACCTTTTATATAGGGCTCAGAACAATAAATAATGCTCGTAAATTATATTGGGTCGATGGAGAGCCTTATAATTACACAAACTGGTACAACAACAGCGACGAACAGGAACTAGTGAAAGGAAATCAACAAAACTGTGCTTTCTACAATCATCTACATCAGTGGCACCTGGATGATAAATGTGGAACAAAGAGACTCTTTATCTGCAAACAGCTGCAATCAACCACTACAACAACAACAACAACAACAAATGCAGCATCAAAGACAACAACAACAACAACTCTATCTGGTACACCCATAGTTATAGTTAGTATAGAACAAAATAAGATATAAAAAGAAACATATCAAATTAATATAATAATTATTTTAAAAGAAGTAAAAACGTTCTCTGGTTGAAAGGATTTAAAAACATAAGCTTTCTGCTATCAGCCTATAGCCTTAACGAATAACCTACAGTTGGCGCGAAAATATGGACGAATATTTGCCCGCGGACTTTGTATGTTCCAAGAGGCGAACAGTTTACAGTAAAGCTCGAGGAAAACTGTGAGCTCAGGGAAACAGATAATATCTAGGGACAGAAATTCTTGCATATTTGCGAGTCAAATGGTGGGTATTGTGTTTATTAACCTACACATATTGACTAGTTGGCTATCTTTAAAGCGAATTCCGGACCACCATGAATAAATCTAAATTACTAGAGCAGCGCCCTGAGCCACTCGGTCACGTTGTTTCCTTATTCTGTTAAAAGTCAAAATAATTCTGTGCGCGTTCAAAAATATTGATTGATAAGTACGAAAATACTTGATGTTTTCCGCGCTGGTATTGAAAATATCTAAATTTTGGGACTAGTCTGTTCATCGTTCCACTGATAAGCCACGTTTATAGGGACATTCAGTTCACAAAATTACTTCATGAAGACACATGTACACAATGTGTACCTATTGTCTTGTTCTATTATTACAGGTTCCTCGCCGAGCAGTAGTCCATTAACAGAGAAAGGAAAACTGAGTTTTCCAGTCACGCAAGGAAAAGTAAGCCCTCCTATAACTCTAAAACCCTCTTAACATTGTGTTGGATGAAAGACTACTGACTGTACTGTCATTTTGTACATGTATGTTTTCCCTTTGCGAACATCGTAATAGTCACTATGATAAGCCAACTCAGCTTCACAGACTAGACCTAAGAAAGTTTGGAGTACAATTGTTGCTATCACAAGTAAGCCAGAAAGAAAGAGGATAGAAGAAAGGGAGGCTGGAAGGAATGAAGGAAGGAAGGAAAGAAGGAAGGAAGGAAGGAAGGAGGAAAGGAAAGAAATAATTAAAGAAGGAAAACGTCGCTTAAAATCGTTACTCATTTTTTTCCAGTTTTTATTCATCTTAGCTTAAGTTTCTGTTGTTAAGCTAAGTCATTGATTGGACGAAAGAACAAAAAGAGTGCTCACGAATATATTGATAATATTAGCGTTACATTTGATTTATTTCAGTCATTGTAAGTTATTACCCTCATGTGAATATGGCTAGCCTAAATTTAACTGAGTCAGTTTTTATTTTACGAAATGTTTAAGACGTTTATTGGGCATTTTTTCCATTAGCCGGGCGAGACCTTAAAGAAGTTAAGCAAAGTACTGGACTCATTGGAAGGCGCCTCTTTGAATAAATCATCTGCCAAGAAAAATATGGAGGTATGAATGCGACACTGTGAGATTTGCTGGCAACAAATACAGCACAATACCAAAGCTTGTTCTTGCTGTATTAGACTTGCAAATAAAAGGCTTAAACATTGTTATTATTATTTCGCAGGAATTAGGAACAGTTTTGGACAGTGTGGTGGATTCTGCTCCACAGGTACACCAGTTCATAGTTCATAGTTCATAGTTCTTCATAGGAGCTCCGGCGGCCCGAAGGGCCGCTAAGCGGAGCCCCATACTCATATAGGAAAGAAAAAGAAACCCATGAGTTGATTTTCTCGTGGTTATCATGGCTAGCGGTATTGCTCGTGGGCGCGTGCGCACGACGGCGACGACGGCGACGGAGTTGCCCAACATGGCGGCCATACTCCAAATAATAGGTTGGTTATCGATTGGATCGCTGGCTCATATTAGGTTAACTTGTTGGAAATAGGGCAGGATTGCTCGGAAGCCGGTTAACGCTAACCCAGGATTAAAAGTTAACCAAATTATAACTTTTTCTTCTATACAAATGTTTTTTGCTGTTTTGT